GGTTAACACGACATCAAAACATCAAGAAATGCAAGCAAAATTGATCATTTATACCTAAAAGTTCAAAAGCCTCGGCCTCTGCTTCACAGTCGAGGAGTGCTTTGGTGTTTATGTAACGGGCCACCCGAGCAGGCTCCCCGTCCTCAGCATAGAGCATGTTATCGTCCTTGTCCAACATGGTAGCAAGGGTGAAACTCTCCATGAACGCTGTCAATGCTCAGAGAGATTTTTTTCCCTCGGTGCACAACTGATCATGCTTCACAAGGAACTGGTCGGTCCTATATCTAAAATGGGCATACACCCACTCCAGTGGAAACTTTGATACATGTTGTACCACCTCCCGACCATCCTCACCCATAGTCTCCATGGTGACTATAGAAATTTTGGCCACCTCTAAAAGAGGCTTTACGACCAGGAACCTGAATTTAAAATTCTGGACAGACCCCGAGTATGGCCAGAACAACCTGCTTTGCTGTTTAAAGGACATCCAGTTTTGCTCTGACTCAGTGGTGCTCCTCTGTAGCTGGAAAATGAAGAAGAAGAGCTCCACGGTAGCCCCAATCTTTAGATAACGACATACCAGCTCAAAGGCCCGAACGAACGCTAGAGCATTCAGGTGAAGTTAGGCAAGGGACAATTCGAGATGACAAAAAATCGTCCTTTGGAAATCCATGATGGGTAGACGATACTCCACCTCCCTAAAGGTAAACTCATATATTGGGAATCTTCTCCTCGGATACACCAAGCAGATCCGGTCATTTTCTGTCGGGCTAATTGCCTTCCAACTCACTGGCACATCTTCTGCCCTATCTTTGAGGAGATTAAAAGCACTGGCCTCCTCCTCTGTAAAGGTAGACGTAGTCACTAGAGGCTCCGGGGAAATCCAACTAAGGTCCCCTTGAGCAACCCGCACGTTGGCGTATTCGGCAGGAGGCACGTCCTTGTTATTAGTCGCCTCGACATCGGAGATGGTTCCTTCATTTTGATCAGCTATTTGACCTGAAAAGCAGAGGAAGCAAAAGTGAATTCAACGAAGATCAAATCCACCCTTCCACCATAAATCAAGTGAAAGGGAGAGGATTAAGTACGAGGACATGCCTCCTCAACTCAAGCCCTTATCTATAGCACGGGGCCTTGGCGTAACCCCTCCCCAAAATGAGGACAAGTCTTCGCGACTTGTAAAGGCCCTATAGGGGATAAGCCACGCGACTACTATGACTTATCGGGCACACTAGGATGAAGCCCTCAGCGTCGAGGATATCTCTTGTCCGACTACAAACACGAAACATCTCACACAATAACCTAGGAAAATCTACAGACATACACAACATCCTAGATTCATGTTCTTTAAGGCCTTCATGCATTTCCCAGGAAATTCATGTGTTCATCAGAAAAAGCATGAACTTCAACTGGAAAATTCATGAGTCGCCGGGAAATTTAAGCTAAATTCCCGAAACTTATACGTTCTAACAAGCAAGGATGAAGAACTTACTTGAGTAAGGAGCTTGAAAATGAAGATCTGGAAGAAGACAAGGGGGACTAACAACGTTGAAGAATGCTCCGGCGACGAACAATTGTTGCAAAGCAAGAGGATTAAAGGAGAGAAATTTCCGTGAAGTGAAAATGAATCCTCTTTCCCCCTTATATAAGTATTTTGCTCGCATAGGGAAGCGCAAAGGGAAAAGAGCCATCATTTCCTAAACCTCCTAGACCTTAACAAAATTAATTACGCTTTCACATGTGGCGAAAAAGGAAGCTGTTAGTTCGCATTTTCAAAACTGACCCTTCACATGCTTGCAAAAGAACAAGTCGCTCCGGCTCCCCGCAGGCACATTCTCCTCAACAATATTGCCAAATAGCATCCGAGCAAGAGTCTCATCGACAAGATATATTTAACACCTTAAGAGCAAGACTGGGCGACGCAAAACACGCCTTTCATATCCGACCACGTCCTCGCACCACAGGAACCACGCGTTATCACCCGTCAACCATTACGGGCACATCCCCGAAGAGCTTCGTTCAAATAACGATGACCTCAAAATCCCTCCCCGCGACGCGGCCCTTGCCTATCGGTCGACCAGTTAGGCTGACTCAAGTCATTACTCCTCACCTCGGAGCAACGACTTGGGGGGCTCCTATTTTGGACTGGACTGACACATGTCGCACAGTTGGGCAAGGCTCAATCCTGTTTAGCTTAAGGCCAAACCCAATAAGGAGATTAGGACAATCTAGCTGTTGGGCATAATCTAGTCGTTAGGCATAATATAAACATTAAAACATATAGTCGTTGAGGACATCCCCCTCACGCGCTTGACAGTTCACGCGACCAACTGTCCCTCCGAAATTCACGGGGTTAGTTGGACCAGGTCAAAGATCACGCTCTAGATCTTCCATGGGTGGCCAGATATTTCGATCACATGGAAAACCTTGGCCCCGCGCTGGGGAAAATCTCATAAATACCCTCTCTCTTGAGAGAGTCAAGTATTCTAATCATTCTAACTCATACCTAAACACTTGTACTTGCTCTCACTCTCTTTCTAGCCCAAACTTACTTTGGCATCAGAGTACCTTGCAGGTACACTCCCACCTCTCCTACAACCACTGTTGCAGCCCTATATTAAAGGGTAAGACGATCCATTTTGATCACTCCAAATCATAAATGCACCCATATCTTAGAAGACAAAGAAATAATTTACAATTTCAAAACCCCTGAGTGAAACTAAGTATCTTGCAATGACTCATACTTCTAATGAAATACCATGGTTATATAATTTGCTAGCAACTCTCCAAATTCCTTGCACCACCCCTACGCTTCTACATCGTGATAATTAAACATCTTTACATTTAATTGTCAATCTAGATTTTCACGAGAGAACTAAATACATAGAAATTGATTGTTAACATATAAATTTTGATGCTATCTATTACTTGCCAACCAAGCAACAAGCAAATATATAACAAAAATCTTTAAGAACAAAAAGTTTCCATAATATTATTCTTAGGTTAAGTGTTCATAATTCTCACTCTCCAACTTAAAGAAAATATTAGATAATAAACTTAAAATAGAATTAGATAACCATATTATAACAACTGTATATTACCATCTTATTGTTAAATAGAGTTAATTTATAAAACTAGAGTTATTAACATATATAGTTTTTTATTAAAAATAATTTATTATCTTTGGTTGTTGATATAAAAACTTGCACCTATGATATTTGAATAAATCTTATTTAAAACAATTTGTTTACTTTCTTTTAGACCAACTCAACCAACCTAAAAATTACTTTCATAATGCACATGTTATAAATTAAAGCATCCTCTATGAATCATATTCAGTTGTTTGGGTCATCTAATTAACATAAGAACTCAAACTCTAAGGGTCTGTTTGGTTCAAATGAGGGGGAGGGGAGGGGAGGGATTTTAATTAAAAATGTGTTTGGTTCAGAAGGGGAGGGGAGGGGTTTTATTAATTATTTACATTTTTATCCTTATGATCTTATATAAGTCATATGATATTACAATGTGAAAAATTTGTGCGTATTTTTGTTGGTAATAAAATTTCTAGTATTGAGTGATTAAAAAAATATTTATTTGTCACGTAAAGTTAAAAAAATTGAGTACAATCGATTCGAATTATAACTTTCCAACATAAATTAAACTATATATCAATAACATCGTTTAAATTGTGATGAATCATATAACAAAACAAATATATAAAATAACTTATTACAAAATATTAATGGTTCAAAATATTTAATAAAATGAATAAACAAAAATAAATAAAATGATATGGTTTACAATTTGATATAAAAGAAAATATTATAAAGTACATAACAAAATTAAAAGAAAAAAACGAATATAACGAAACATAATTTTTCTTATAAAAAAAAAGACAATGATTATGATTTATATTAATTATAAAAATTATAAAATAATTTGAAGGTGGAGAACAATTATAATAAGTTGATGAAAACAATCGAGAAAAAAAAGTAACACAAAAGATAACAAATAGTTTTGAAATAATAAAATTAAACTGAGGATATTTTAGTAAATATAATAATTTTTAAATATCAAAACTCATATTCCCTCCCCTCCCCTCCAAATCCCCCCAATTCGGAGGGAACCAAAAAATGTGTTTTGGAGAGATTTTGCTCCCCTCCCCTCCCCTCCTAAAATTTGAACCAAACATATTTAATTAAAAATTTCCCCTCCCCTCCCCTCCCCTCCCATCCCCTCCATCTACCCCGAACCAAACACACCCTAAAAGGGAAACTTAAACCAAGTAGTTACTCAACTAAAATAACTCAAACTAAAAAAGAAAACTAAATTCTCTCCATTAATATAAAAAATATTATCTTATAATATCCAAAAATAAATTGTGGTATCCGTATTCCGTACGACTCATCGTTCAACTTATTAGTGAACAAAAATAAAATAATACAAATATACACTATTTATAGACATTATAAATACATGATCAAGCCTGAAAATAAATGCTGTAATACGTGCACTGAACCTATTCATTAATGAATTTATTATCCCTGACTTTTCTGCACATGGCACTGTATCTAAATAACGTACCATAGAAACTAAGAAGAAAAACGAAAAGTATTCGTCGCCTGAGAGATTCGAACTCTCGCGGGGAAACCCCATGTACTTAGCAGGCACACGCCTTAACCACTCGGCCAAAGCGACTTTGTTGAATTTGAAATTCTGAAAACAATTTTTATAATATAATCGTTAAAATAAACAATAGAGAAGTTAACTTGATCTTTCTCTCTTTCATTGCGGTTGCAGAAAGTACCAAATGAAAGCAAACAAAAAAAGCGATAAACGAACCACCCAGTGATGCCAAGAGGTTGGGTGCCTGTGGGTCCCATTTTATCTCTCTCTCTCTCTCTCTCTTTCTTAATCTCCACTTTCCGTTCCTCACACTTCCCTCACCGACGCACACACATAGATAGTCGTTTCAATTCAACTCCAACCTACTCCACGCCATGACGACGGCGCCACCACCAACGCCGCCACCACTCGAACTAAAAACCTACTGGTGCCACGAATGCGACATGAGCGTCTCTCTCACTTCCTCTCCATCTCCCTCTCCTCTCCTCTGTCCTCAATGCCACACCCATTTCCTCGAACTCATGGACTCACCTTTCTCCCAAAACGACGCCGATTCGTTCCTCCCTTCTTCTTCCCTCTTCGACGTCCTTTTCCAAGACGCGCTTTTACTACTCTCACCCCCTAAAACTCGCACCGAAACGATCATTCCTATATTAACCGTTACACCGACGCTTCTTTCTTTACTCGATCCAAACGGTGTCGTTTTATGTGCGGTTTGTAAAGATGCTATTTCCGTTGACGAAGAAGCGAAGCAGCTTCCGTGTGATCATCTATATCACGCTGATTGTATTACTCCCTGGCTTCGTCTTCGATCTTCGTGTCCTCTTTGTCGATTCAGAATCTCAGAGCAAGAAGAAGAAGATGAAAACGACGAAGAAGACGATGATGAAGATGTTAATGGTGCTGATATGATGAGGGAGATGATGACGCGGATGGCGGAGTTGTCGGAAGATGATTTCTATGGTCTGAGAATAACTCTCAACCACATTGCTTCCCGTCATGCTCTTCTTCATTCTAATGCTTCAGGCGGCGGTGATAATCATGATGCTAGTAGTGAAGTTGGTGGAGATGTAGATGGAGAATCTTGATTCTGAAATTCTTTGAGGTATGTTTATCATTTTGTCATGAATCATTGAAGCTTATTATATTGAACTCTGGTTTGTGAATTTAGAATTTTGGCCTTTGAAGAGTGCTAACTGTGTCGATGTGTTTGTATGTGTCTACTAGGGCCTAGGTGTATCTTACGTAGTATTGATTTAAGAAAGTTGATTCCATAGTCCATGAAAATTCTTTAAATTATGCGTAAAATCTATGAAGCAGGACACCAGAAACACGTCAACACCAGCATTGACACATCAACACTGGGAATAATTTAAACAATAATAAACTAAACGTAATTACATGTGTCTGCGTCAGCTTCGGTTTCAATACACACCTTTTTTTTAGAGGTGTTGGTGCTATGAGACTTTTTTTTAGGGTGTTGGTGCTATGAGCTTGAGATTCTTGATCTGAATGGGAATAGACTTGAGCATCTTTAACTAATTCTTGTGTATGACGAAAATTTGTTTGGCAGGAGATAACTCAGTTTGTGTCAATAGATTTTCTAATAGAAAATAGTCTCCGGGGGATAGTTTGTAACTATATTTTAGATTTTGATGTTGTTTATGCTTTTTGTAAGTTGATGTTTAAGCATGCTAGATTCATGAGTGGCTGGTGAAATTTTAAACAGAGTTGTTCTTTGCTTCTCTTTTAACTTGAACTTGTTCATGGAAGCGACCGTGAGAGTAATTTTTGAGTTTCTTGCTTCAACTTTCTGTAAACACGAGTACATGACAACTCCTTTAAGCTAAGGACTGTTTAGTTTTTTTCCACGTTTTGATGAGGAGAGTAATTTTTGAGTTTCTTGCTTCAACTTTCTGTAAACATGAGTACATGACAGCTCCTTTAAGCTAAGGTCTGTTTAGTTTTGTTCCACTTTTTGATGAGAAGAGAAGATGCGCTTATAGACTTAGTACATGTTTGGTTACGCATTGGTGAGAATAAAACGTATGTCTGAGAGTTCAAAGGCTGTTTGCCAAATTTAGAAGGATGTATGACTCTTGGTTTTGAAATCAATTTTCCATCCTAAATTGATTCATATCTAAGCCAACTATGTGTAGCTTATATTGTTGAATTTATTCTTCATTGAAAACGTGTGACGTATTATAATTTCTCAACTTTTACCTTTAATAAAAGGAATCGGCTACCCGTTTGTGCTCTTTGTCATGCCACCATTTTAGATTCCAATAACTTTTGATTGTCCAAGAAAAATATGCTCTTTGTCATGCCACCATTTTAGATTCCAATAACTTTTGATTGTCCAAGAAAAATCTACTTCAGTGTTGAAATTTGAGAAAGGGAGGGAGGGAGAGACATTACAAATTAAACTTAAAATAAAGAGCAATCAAAAAATTCGTAACACAAAAATTGTTGCAATGTTTTCATTTGAAATCACAAGTTGCAAATGAAACAAGGATATTAGGTTTCATCCTTAGCCTTTAATCATCCTTAGATTAGAATAGAAGAGAGATTGGGCTGCAAAGGTATAATAATATAGTTATAGCAAAAATAAATAACATATATGTATGTACTTATTAATACCATTTTAGTGATTATACACAAGCCCAAATTTTAATTAAAACTATCCCAACATGTATGCAAACACAAATGACTTCACTTTCAAATCACTTCTAATTGAACACCCTTCTAACCAAACTAAGTGTCACTTTAAATGTTAAAAGGGTTTAAAACGTACATTAGGCTTCCCTCCATTAAAATTCTTTCCCTCTACTCAATCCCATAAGACGTATCGCAGTAAATCCCTCCCCTTGTTTGAACCAAATAGACCATTATGGAATGTTCTCTTTCCAGTGCACTGTGAACTAAGTACCTTTGGGTTTGTGGCTTAAAAAAAATTTCATAGGAAACAAAGATGAGGATGAAAGAAAATATTGAAGCATGGGGTTGACTAGTTTTTCATGAATATATTTGTAGTGTTATTGCATATTTATAAATGTCAAAACTTCTTGTTATCATCATTTTGTATTGGATCACATGCATTTCATTCATTCAAGCCAAAACGATAAGATTGTTCAGTGATTATTGCATGAATCAAGATTGTCAAAACTGAACTCTTGCGATGTTGTATTTTTGCCTAAACAATGACTAGATTTTCTGTTTGATTGTTTGATGGAAACATTGAACCATTTTTCATTTTGTTGAAATAAAAATTGGGTTGGAGAAGGGTAGGACATCACAACCGATTTTAGTAGATATCATAGAATGCAATATGCATTAGTCTGTTCTGTGCCATTAGTTATGTTATATAACTATTTATTTGGTTGGCCCATTATGGCTATTTAATATTTATGTTATATAACTATTTATTTGGTTGGGCCATTATGGCTATTTAATATTTGTTGCAGAATAGTTAGTACGAATGTCTTATATGGAATAATATGCCTACTCCATTAGTGTCCCTTTTACTAGTCATCCATATTCCATTCTTCAAAAAGGCCCTTCTTTTACTTGTGAACTAATATTATCTATTTCTGATATTCAATTTCAGGTATATAGTGTACTAAAAGAATATTGAAGTTGTATCACCATATATCGTCTTATCAAGTGTAAATCTACACCGGCGATTATGCTTCTTCTGTTTTCCCTTCTTTTTTAGGGAACTCCAACTAGCTAGTTGTAGTGTTATAGCTAGAAATACAATAAACTGATGGAATGCACAAGTGCTGTGCATTTCTCTTTCCCTTCTCCACTCTCTATATGTTTGTCCTTGAAACTGGACTCTCTTGAACCAAGTTCCCTTCCATCTTAGTCAATAAAATATTTGTAGTATTCAGCTCCCATTTATGTTCTGTCTGTATTTTTTCCACCAATACATTTCATAAGTTGTTTTATTTTTGCTTTATATTAGATGATATTTCTTCCTGCCAACATTACATGGCCGATGTTCGAGCGTGGGATTGTTGACAGATTGTATCATCTGAGTGTTGCTGTGTATCATGCAAGAGCCTTAAAATACATTGTTGTGTCTGAGTTCTGTTGTGATGATCCTATCTATGTTTACATAGCATCACTACTTGTAGTTAGTACACTTAAATGAACCTCAAGAATTTACCCCACACCCCTATTAATTAAGTACACACTTAAATCAAATGTAGTTTTGTTTGGCTCCTTTTTGCTCTATTCCATCAGTACATATCATTAATCCAAACTCCTTTACAATGATACCTCTTATATTTTTTAATCTAAAAATATACTGTATATCACTACTCCAATATATGCCATAATGGTTGGACACCTTGTCTGGTGGGGGTTGCAGAACTTTTTAGTAGATTTTAAAGAATCGCTCTACGTGAATATGCCGTGACGTCCCCCATAAGGCATTTTGAATGGTTTTGTTTTCTTAATAAAGACGTTTCCAATCCAGCCAAAATGGTTCATTTGTGAACCTGGCCGACAACTGCATCATTGTTTGACACGTATGGTCATTACTCATTATCAATAACAGAATCAGATCATTCAGATGGAACTCAACTCGTGTAGTAAAAGTCACGTTATTTGTTTCTTTCAATCAAGTTCCAACTTGTATGTCTTTCATTTGTTAAAATACGAAAATCTGATAGTGTATGATTACCCGTATGAATTTAGTGTAAATGAGTAGGGATGATAATGGACGGATTTGAGCAGAGACTATAATATCAATTTCCATATCTGTAATTTAAAAAAAAAATTGTATTCGAACTCATACATGTTTGGACGCCAAAATTATAACTTGTATCTGTGCTCTATAGGTATGTAAATGTCCGTATAATATTCATTACTCGCATTTTTATTAAAAATAAATATATTAATTATAAAATGTTATATTATTTTAAAATTTTATAACATTAAAAAGTTTTTAAAAAATTTATTGTTTAAATAAACGAACATTTATATGAAATATGTAATAGTTTAACATTAATATAATTAAAATTGAAATACATACATTTTTATATAATAATATAAATTAAAATACATATATATTATGCAGATATGAGGTGCAGTGGGTATCAAAGTTTCTATACAACACTCATATTTTACGAGTTTTTAGCACATCTATTATGGATAATTTTAGAGATGTCTATTGAAAATGGGTCAAATTGTCATCTAGATTGGGTTGGAGAGTGAAAGAATTGAGAGGAAATGACATAAATAACCCAAAAAATGCTTTAATTGCAAGAGATTATGTGATCAAATTCCATATGATTGGGTGAGTTTGTTTCATTGATTTAAATTTTATTTTTAAGAATGTGTGTGACTGGAAATCATATTTTCGCATTTGTTTTAAGTTTGAGTTTCAAGATAATACACTATCAAGAAATCATATTTTCACGTTTGTTTTAAGTTTGAGTTTAAAGGTAATATTAAACAGATATTTAATTAGATTATTTTAATATGCTAAATCATAGCTGTATTTTAAAAATAAAAGTGTAATGTGGTAGGATACACATATTGATTGACAATGTAAAATTGCTAATATATATTGCTTTTTCTTATTAAATTTCATCAAATTATACGTGGATACTTTTTACTATATAATTTATTTATTTTATTACCAAACAAAAGGGTGAGAATCTTACATTTTTATTAGAATAAAAGATACTTATCCATAACTTCTAACTCTAAATTAATTTAACTCATATATATTGTTCTAGACTTGGCTAGAGGTTGTCCTACTGTCGAACACGACTCAACCCATTCCTTAGTCGGGGAGGGCCTAACTTATCACACCACATAGGGAGCGCTCACGCGTCTCCCCCACGGACCCCACGTGCCTCCCACGCAGGAACACATCATTAGCAACTACCCGTATTCGAAAGAACATGTCACCCACCTTTCGAAGATCACATGGCAGTTGACTCAGGACGAAGACCACGTGCTGACCTTTTCTACACCACGTAAACCCCGACAGTTACTCGTGTTGGGCCTTGCGATCCAACCCAATGCAAAGTAAGCGTCGACCCAACGCTGGGGGCACATTATAAATACCCTC